TCTGCATACAAGCAAGCCATGTTTGTTTGGGGGAAAAAAAAAAAAAATTCAAGTTCTGGGACAAGACTAATGTCTAGAAGTGGATGAACACCCAGAACTTTCCATCTCAGTTTACAGTCGGTGTACACTTAGAAGAAGAAGATAATTGATCACACACACACACAAAAACTGCATTCTAAAGCTGAGTCTACAGACCACAAAATGCCTATACACTGACCTAACAAATTCAACCAGAACACAGGTAATATCAAAAACAAGAACAAAACAAAAAGCTGCACATAATCAGTCATAAACAAAATCAACAACGATGCATAAATAAAATGTAAAACAAAAAGAAAAAGCATATTAATTTTTAAAAACTAATTTCATTTCTTATTTTTTAAATCCTGATTAAGTAAGCTGTATAGCAAGTTACCGAATTTTATTATCAAGTTAAAGCCAGTTTCCTCAGGTACATGAGACAACTCACCAAAGTCACCTTAGGGTACAATTTTGTGGATGCTCGCCTACGTGTATTTTCTGGACTGTAATTTATCACTTTACAATATCCAAAAGGTATACATGTGAATTCCTGCTTCAGGTAGTCAAAATAAACTATTACTTTTCACGCAACTACACCATTTTTATTTGCTGCTCAATGTTCAAACGTGATTTTCTCCAAACTAGGATTTAACATCTAGGTGACTTTGGCGTTATGCCAACAACATATTATCAAACATTTAAACTTTTAATGGGATTCACATCATTTGATGCAGAATTAATTTCCCTCTGAGTGGTTGAACAGTGTACATGAAGTGCATGGGGGTTCAAAGCAAAAGCAAATGGACGTCGCTTAGTGCAAAAAAGCCTGGGTTATAATACTACAACGTCTAGTTCGAGAATGGAGGTGGAGGCAGTCACTGCTGCCTACCACTGGCTTAAGAACCAGCTGTACACACATGTCGGAATTGTAACTGACTCACAGAGCATGCTGAGAAAGGTGGAGACAGGCATGCTCTGTGCAGAGTGGCAAGCATTGCTTTAGAGGTCCCAGGTAGGTAGTGTCACTTAACATATTTTCTCTAGGTGATACCTGTGTGTTGGGAAATTAACAGGCAGTTGGACTGGCTTATTCTGCACCACCTGGTGGTGAAGTGATATATGACAAGCTAGATGTTGCAAAGGTCCTTGGGGAGAAAGTGAACAGTGTGGAGGTAAAACAGATCATTACGATCTCAGGAGAATGGTGCTAGGGGATCTGGCCGATGCCCAACACTCAAGGTAAAAGCGAGACAAAGATACAATCAGACAGCTACTGGTACCGTCAGAACTAGAACTCTTCGCTTGTTGCTGAAGATGGGAACGAAGCCTTTATGGAAGTGTCCCGAGTGTTGTGATGTTGATTCATAATTCAGCATGTTCAATGTATTTGATAACAAATGCCTGAAGAAAATGAACATAAAATGGGACAAATTCAAGATGGGTGAAGAAATAGAGAAATGTCTGATCTGCTACCAGTGGTAATAACAGTTTTAAGACAAAGAAGACAATGCTATACTGGATACATCCTAAGTAGAAAAGAGCAGAGAATTACCAAACAGGCACAAAAACAGAAAATAAAGGGACAGAGGAAGCGAAGACACCAAAAAAAAACATAAAAATGAACATTGGTGAGAGAGGCTAAAGGTAATGGACCGAATTCCACCCATGATACTGAACTGATTGTACAGAAAAAGGGAGGGAACAAACGGAATGGAGGACAGACTGCGAGACATGTGTAACACATAATGGCACGACAGGACAATTCTGATGACGAGTTGTTACAAAATGGTCAAGTTAAAGGGTTAATAATTTCGCCTTTTTTGTTTTGGTAAAGGGGGCCGCAATAACGCAGTCGATAGAAGACACGCTTTAAAATTCAGCTGCAACACACTGCAGCCCACGGCCGGTGTTCGAAACCGGGCGGTTCCCAGTGTACACCCTGCCTCTAGGAAATAGGTACCAGAGTTAACACTTTGGTTTAAATGGAGGAACGTGTTTGAAGCTACGATGTTTCTTGCAGACAGCGACACAGGCGGACAGTTTCTAATCAGCTGTCTGTACTGGTGGTAAAGCACCTATGGTTTATAACCGTGTGCAATGACGCTGTTTCACATTTCCCGACTGTACTTTTACCTTCTGTTTTGGTCAAATTAAATTCTTTTTAAATAGTTTAAAGTTGTAAAGAAAATTAATTTAAATGACAGAACAATACAATATTTTTTTTTTAAAGCATAAAAACCACATAAATTGGACTACCAGCTATCAACACATGAAAATATCTGTCTCAAATACTTTACTTTGCCACAAACACTGAATTATCCTTTAAGAACTAATGTATCTGCCAGAGAGGCGAGAAACCACCTGTCTGCATATAAAATAAGATACATCTGTAAAACAAATGCACAAGCAAAACTCAAGTTATGAAACAAGATCAAAGTCCAGAAGGGGATGAACAACCAGAACCTTCCACCAGCATTTACAGCTGGTGAAGGCTTGAGAAGAAGAACTAATGTAGGGGGTGTTATAAAAGTAGCAAAGGTCAGTTTCATACATCAAATTTTCACAAATTTTGAGGAAAAGGAGGGGGGCGGCGAAGAAGGAGTAGTAGAAGAGAATTATAATCAAGACCCACTACAAGAAGTAGTCAAGGTGACACAGCAGCTATACACTCGCTTGTCGGTCCAAAGGTCTCAGGTTCAAACTCACATCTAAGCGGATTTCTTTTTCAAAACTGACCTGTTCCCAAGTCGATACAGCCTAAAAAGGGTACCAAGAAATGTCCTGGGAAGTAAAGGCGGGCGGTGCACAATGACCAGATCCTCCACCCGGGTGTCTACAGAGGTCTAGCACTACATGCCTGAAATGTCAAAGGTGTGAAAAGAGCCCACAACATTGTTCACTGCCTTCTTTTCGTATGACCCAAACAAAATGCTGACTGACTCTTTCTGATGTTTGTGATAAGTTGTCTTCAAACCCTTTGCCTCTTTCAAAACATCGTTTTTGGTTGTACAAGGAATTCTAAGAATTCTTCTGTAAAACCGCATCCCCAAGGCCTCAAGAAATTGTTTGGCTTCTTTTTATTAATTGTCCATGATTCACAGCCATATTTTAAAAATTATGGGTCGCACAGCGGCAGCTTCAGAGGAACATGCTGAGAATATCATGGACAGACATTTAAAAAAAAAAAATAAAGCAGTCAAGAGATTACTTTTTTTCCTGCCAGTGGTTTGCAGATGAGAAAGCCAACGGCCTCAATGAAGACTGTGGTTGATGCAATCCTTACACTTAATGCAAACACCAGGTTCAACTGGTCAGACGTTTGATCTTTTATACATCTTAAAATTTTTAAAAAGCAGAAGAAGAAGAAAAAGGTGCCGGTATTGCCCACTAAGCGGCAAGAAATACTCCATCATAATCAAGCGTGTTGTTAATGTAATTCTGTCCTATCTGATCACATAAATATAAATATATGACACTAAATCAATGCTTGTATTTTGCCATTTTAAAAGATTTACATTGATGAAAGCAATTTCAATGAAGTTACTGAAGCTGAATTAGGTCAAGCTCTTTTAGAACATGTTTTACCACTTAAGCCAAAGGAACTGGCTTGTTAACAACAAACTAGACTTTATGTGTGTATGAAATACACAAGACCATATGGTCTTATTCCCCCCTTGCACTTTATTGTAAAAGTGGTTTGAAAAAAAAAAGGTGAAAGATAAACATCACTTTGATAAAGAAGAAAAGACAAAACATTGAAATGACAAAAGGAAACGAGAAAGATATATATATATATATCAGTCGCTAACTGAAAAACACAGAACACAAAATGAATCAATCTGTTATAAAATAATTGTACAGCCAGTGTGAATTATCTTCTTTGGCATTTGCCTGGAAAAAAGGCAGTTGGCATGCTCTATTGTGGTTTACAGCTAGGCTGAAATATCTGCGTCTCTCAGACCAACACGTCTGATGACAGCAACGTCTCAATTAGTCACTTTTTTATGACACATTTTTCAAGTGGAAGAGGGTCCTTCCCTCCTCCTCCCCCCCCCCCCCCCCCCCCAACCCAAATGGGGATCGGTAACCCACACAGGGATACAGATATAAAGGTGTGAAATTATCAAGATTGCACATATACTAGGTTGCATCATTACTAGATGGGGTGGCGGCTTCTTTCCTGAACTCAGTGATGAGTGGTGTATTTTACAAAACAAAAAGTATCCTCGCTGCAAACGATTTAAACAACACACACACACACAAATGAAGAAACAACTGCGCTGTCTCAGAATTTAAACTGACTTCTGTGTCATAAACATATTAAAATGTACTAAAAAATGTGCTCTTCATTTAATTCTCTTCTTCGCTTCCTCTTTTACCGCTTCTGGTATCGAGGGAGATAGCTTCTTCTTCTCCTTTGTTCACCAGATGTAAGCTCCGGTGGTTAGTTCTGGTTGCTCGTCTATTGTGACTTTGGTTCTGTGCCAGGGCTTAAGTTTTGCTTTTGCGTGTACCTCCATTTTACTGGCTTACTTGCGGACAGTTGCTTGTTATTTGCCACTTGGGCCGATGCACTCCGACTTCGAAGGAAGCTCCCAAAAGTGTACTCCTCTCCGACATGCTCATTGGGGAGGTAGTGGGTCTTTTCTTGTTCTCCCCACAATGGGACCCCGAAACCCTCAAGGGATGAGGGAGATATAAGGCTATACTTCTTGCAATACTTCTTGCAATTAATTTATTAGTACATTTTAATTTCTTGTTCACATTGTTTCTATGGCAACACAGGGTCCCCAGTTTTTGTTATTGCTGAAATGACTTCAGTATACAAGGCAGCTACAGGCTCCCAGTCACCTTATCCTACATCACACTGAATGAGGTTAAAAAAAAAAAAAAAGCAGAAAAGACAGTTGAGTTTTATACCAAAATGCTTCTACACAGCGAGTTCTTCATATCAATGTCAGTCACAGAAATATAACACACTACACAGCTGTGCCCTCGTGGCTGACATCCTGTGTGTCTGAGGTGTCAAAGTTCCCAGAGACTTGTTGTTGATCACAGTTATAAACATCACTTGTGGTGGGCGACGGCTGTATCAGAGGCATGCTCTTCACTACTTTATCCACAGAAGTGCTGGTTGTTTCTAAGGATGAAGGCACTTCTGAAATGGAACTTGGTGCAGAATGCAATCTGGCAGATGTCGGGGTGCTGCAGAGTGCACCAGAACGCGAAGACTCCTGCCAGTCTAAATTTGGATGCTGGAGTTTCAACTCTTGTCTGGCTGCAGAATCTGCACTGTTGAGTTGGCATACTTCCAAAGCTGGAGAACTAATTTCAGACTGGTTAAGATAAGTGATCTTCTGCTCAGCAGAAGAATAATCCATATCCTGAAAGACTGCAGACATAACTGGGTTATTTTTGTTGCTATGTTTTACATCTTGGTTATAATTAACAATACTTGTGTCGGTTGCTCCAGAGTTAATTCTAAGCTTCTGATCAGGATGCAGACTGGATTTTGCCTGAAATATTTCTGAAGAGACAGGTTCTTGACCAGGGCCAGCAACTGGACACGACTTTCCATCCTGCTTGATGACAGAACAGATGTTACTGCTGATGTTAGCATCCAGAGATGTTTCTTTGCTTAAATATGAGGTGTCATTATCAATGGAGGATCTATCAGTTGAGGGAATAACCTTTAAACAGTCACAAGAACTGGTATGGACATCACCTGAAGCATTCTGTGAACTGCCGTTTGGACGACTGGCAGTGTACATCGATGTCACAGTATGTTCAGGATTGTCTGAAACGATATCGGAGCCGCTACTGGAAACAGCTGCAGCTTGAGCAGACTGACTAGAACGCAGGATGTTGCCTGAATCTGTGTCTGAGCAGCTATTAGAAAATGCAGCAGTAGTTTGTGGAACAACATCTGGCTGGCTTTTTGAACCACCATTAGAGTGGCTAGCAGTTGTTGTAGGGTCTGTGTTATCTTGTATGTGAGTTGAACTGCCGCCTGTTTCATTATTGAAATCATTCCCAGTTTCAACACCAGCCTGTTCAGTACCACTTGGATGTCTCTCTGAACCACTAGTGGAAGAGTTAGCAGATGCAGCACTTTGCTCTGCAGGTCTTCGGTTAGTGCTTCTCAGACGACGAAAGAGCCTGTAGATGTTGCTCTGTGTGTAAACAGTAACACGCTCTATTTCATAGTTCCCATTACCACTTTCATTCCTCAAGTTAGCAGCCGGAGCAGCTCTGCCTTCAAGGCCAGGCTGGCGACTGATATAATTCTGCAGAAATCTAGATCTGCGCAGGATATTAAACAGATCTGTCAGGCCTGCAGCCCCATCCCTTGGGTTGACATTAATGTTATCCAGCCTCAAAATTTCTCTGGGAACTGCGTCTGTTTGTGAGTTCCTCCCGTTGCTGGCATGATTCTCACTTGTGTCCCTGTCAACGCTAGTTCCCGGACCCGCAACCCCTGACCCATTACTCCCATCGCTGCCTGACACACCATTTTGTCCGCTACCATCATTTCCCTCTAAGTTGCCATTTAAATTAGTCTCGCTGGCATCTACAGGCGTCCCACCATCTTCAGGGTTGTTGGGCGGCTGTTGCTGCTGATCCTCAGCTTCGGCTCCAGGTTGAGCTGGTTCAGCAAATAACTCTTGGATGCGGACTTGCTGTAGTATGGCAGGTAGTTCATAGTGGTGGAAGAAGTAGATCATTGAGTGCTTAGGGGAAAAAACAGATAATAAAACAAATTACTGATCTGAGCAGGGTAACATATTTTAATAGTTATCTAATTATTTGTCTTTGTTCACCGGCTGTAAGCTGCATCGGAAAGTCCTGGTCTTTTTGTCCATTTGGACTTTGGCTTTGAGACAGTGCCTGAGTTAAGCATGTACATCTGTTTAGTGTTTTAAGTGAGTGCAGTTGGTTGTTCCCTGCCACTCGGGCAGATGCACTCCAACTTCGAAGGAAGTCCCCAATTAGTCAACTCCTACGACTTGCTTTTTTGGGGAAGCAGTGGGTCTATTCTTGTTTTACCCACAATGGGGCCTGCACCCACACAGGGAGTCGACTTTTTTTTTGGGGGGGGGGGGGGGGGGGGGGGGGGGGGGGGGAAAGCAGTTGGTCTATTCTTGTTTTCCCCAAAATGGGGCCCTACACCCACACAGGAAGTCGACTTTTTTTTTTGGGGGGGGGGGGGGGGGGGGGGGGATCAGTGGGTCTATTCTTGTTTTCCCCAAAATGGGGCCCTGCACCCACACAGGGAGTCGACTTGCTTTTTTTTTGAGGGAAGCAGTGGGTCTATTCTTGTTTTCCCCACAATGGGACCCTGCACCCACACAGGGAGTCAACTTGCTTTTTTTTTGGGGGGGGGGGGGGGAGCAGTGGGTCTATCCTTGTTTTTCCCAAAATGGGGCCCTGCACCCACACGGGGAGTCAACTTGCTTTTTTGGGGAAGCAGTGGGTCTATTCTTGTTTTCCCCACAATGGGGCCCTGCACCCACACAGGGAGTCGACTTTTTTTTTGGGGGGGGGGGGGGGGGGAAGCAGTGGGTCTATTCATGTTTTCCCCAAAATGGGGCTCTGCACCCACACAGGGAGCCGACCTTTTTTTTGGGTGGGAATGGGGCCCTGCACCCACACAGGGAGTCGACTTGCTTTTTTAGGGAAGCAGTGGGTCTATTCTTGTTTTCCCCACAATGGGGCCCTGCACCCACACAGGGAGTCGACTTTTTTTTGGGGGGGGGGGGGGGGGGGAAGCAGTTGGTCTATTCTTGTTTTCCCCAAAATGGGGCCCTGCACCCACACAGGGAGTCGACTTGCTTTTTTTTTTGGGGGGGAAGCAGTGGGTCTATTCTTGTTTTCCCCACAATGGGACCCTGCACCCACACGGGGAGTCAACTTGCTTTTTTTTTGGGGGGGGGAGGGAGCAGTGGGTCTATTCTTGTTTTTCCCAAAATGGGGCCCTGCACCCACACGGGGAGTCAACTTGCTTTTTTGGGGAAGCAGTGGGTCTATTCTTGTTTTCCCCACAATGGGGCCCTGCACCCACACAGGGAGTCGACTTTTTTTTTTTGGGGGGGGGGGAAGCAGTGGGTCTATTCTTGTTTTCCCCAAAATGGGGCCCTGCACCCACACAGGGAGTCGACTTGCTTTTTTGGGGAAGCAGTGGGTCTATTCTTGTTTTCCCCACAATGGGGCTTGCACCCACATAGGGAGCCGAAAAATTTTTTTGAGGCGGGGGGGGGGGGGGGGGAGCAGTGGGTCTATTCTTGTTTTCCCCCAAAATGGGGCCCTGCACCCACACAGGGAGTCGACTTGCTTTTTTAGGGAAGCAGTGGGTCTATTCTTGTTTTCCCCACAATGGGGCCCTGCACCCACACAGGGAGTCGACTTTTTTTTTTTTTGGGGGGGGGGGGGAGCAGTGGGTCTATTCTTGTTTTTCCCAAAATGGGGCCCTGCACCCACACAGGGAGTCCACTTTGGGGGGGGGGGGGGGGGGGGGGAATCAGTGGGTCTATTCTTGTTTTTCCCAAAATGGGGCCCTGCACCCACACAGGGAGTCGACTTGCTTTTTTTGGGGAAGCAGTTGGTCTATTCTTGATTTTCCCACAATGGGGCCCTGCACCCACACGGAATGTTATCTAATTCAAAGTAATGTCTTCCCACAGTGAATTTAAATATTACAAATCCGCCGAGGCTCCCCCCCCCCCCCCCCCCCTCCTCAACAGCAAAAGTAAAAATTTACAATGATGATTAGGATGACTTTCTTTAAATAAAGCAGATTAACAGTCAAGAGATGTACAGTGAACTAGAGAAGATAATAAGATTTGTGTATTTCAGTGGATTTTATGCTTCACTATATGTTGATGTAACTCAAGTAATGCATTGTTTGTGTGCACACTTAAGTAATCTAAATACTAAAAATGATGGATATAATGAACTGTAACAGAAAGTCACAATACAAAAATCTTAGTCTGAACAGCAGAAAAACTGAAGTGATGGCAATTTTGAAAAACAAAATTTTTTTAAACAATGCCCTTAAGATACAACATCAAAGTCAATGAAGAAGTCTGAGGCATATCAAGATGTTTAAGTGCTTAAGCATCCTGATACAACAGATGGAAGATGTTTAGCCATCTCGTGAGAATGCAGCTAAATCAAACTGTATATGAGACTTTTTACAGCAGAACATCTGGGAAGAAGGCAAGGGGGAAACCAAGAAAGAGTTGAACACATGGTGTAGGCTAAACCTGCAAAAAAAAAAAAAAAAAAAAAAAAAAGAAGAACAAATCCATCACCCAAGAAACACTAGACTGCAGAAAACTATGATACTGGGCTACAAAAAGGTAACAGTGAGATGACAAAAGAAAAAAGAAGGGAAGAAGAATGACGTTCATTAAAACATGTTTATCTTTCCTATGAAAATATATTTTGATGTATGTCCCCAACTGCTAAAGAACTAGTTTAAGCACAGCTATGGTTATGCTTGCAATGGTGTTTGTGAAATGTTGATTTGTCTCTTGAATGGAAACTTATGGGACACCGTGTAAAATAGCTCAAACAAAAGTAGCATTTTTTAGGCTGAAGAGACCCATACTAAGAGATCCCATACTAAGAGATCCCATACTAAGATAAGACTTGCATATTGCAAAGCCCATACAAAGATAAGACTAGCCTATGTTAATGCTAGTTTTTAAACTATGGCAGACAAACACACACAGACAAAAACCAAATACTCACCTGTATGAAAAGCCAGGAAGTGAACAGAGCGAGAGGGCTATACTGACCATTGAAGCGGTAATGGTAGGCATAGAACGCAAAATGATACAAGTAGAAAAATCTGGATGGGAAAGGTAAAAGGCATTACCATTTACATAATGTAGACACAGACAATACTTTTTTAAAATTTACTATGCAATAAAATGTACATAAAATGACAGTTTGTGTAAATGACATACAAGTCTATAACATACATAACAAAATCATCCATTATATTTGTGAAATGTGGATGGCCAAGTAGTTAGAATGCTGAGCTCTCAAGCGGGAGACCTGGGTTTAAATCCTTAGTTATGTGATGGACATTTCTTTCTGTTAGAGGGTAAAATTACATCTTGACAATTTAACATATAGAGTACATGGCGACTGCACTAGCCATGCAGGCTCAATACCCCAGAGTCCTATATCATCCTAAAAAGTGATACTATAAGAATTTTTTTTAAGCTTTTTTTTAGTTTGGTTTTGTTTGTCTTTTTGTTTGTCTGGTAAAATTATGGCATTCAATTTTTTTAAATTATAACAGTGACTTGCTGATTTATGGGAAGTGTAGAAGTGTAGTGGCTAGACAAATGCAATGCTGGCCCAGAGGACTTGGGTTTGATTCAGCGTTGAAAACATCCTGGGAAATGAAGAAGGCTGGCCCAGTCTAAAATGTTTACAAGAAAACATCCTGGGAAGTCAAAGAGACTAGTACTGTTACAGCTGCTGCTGCTGCTACTACTACTACTATACCACTACTTTTACTCTGCTAGTAATACTACTACTATTACTACTAATATTATACTGTTGTCGCTACTACTACTGCTAGTAAAAGTGGTTTACTCACCGTAACCAGATCCTCTTGCTAATGTTGGTATGGCAACAAATGGCATCGTACTGATCAGCAATCCATACAATCAGGATGATATAAAATGCTGTGGTTGTATCATTGAAAAACTCCGACATGATTGCTTCCATACCTATGTTAATCATACAGATTAAGATCATTTAAAATCTTCAAAACTTAGTGACAACAGATAAACAATTAAAAAAAAGCAAAGGAGAAGACAGAAAGACAAATTTATTGTTGATGTGCACCAAATTGACTTAAGTGCTAAATCCTTGTGTATGCTGCTACAGGGAAGGTGCATGCTCTCCAAACAGACTCCTTGATGCCTTTGCTGGTGCAGTCACATCTGTATGCTGCTACAGAGAAGATGCAAGCTGACCAAACAGACTCCTTGATGCCTTTGCTGGTGCAGTCACATCTGTATGCTGCTACAGAGAAGATGCATGCTCTCCAAACAGACTCCTTGATGCCTTTGCTGGTGCAGTCACATCTGTATGCTGCTACAGAGAAGATGCAAGCTGACCAAACAGACTCCTTGATGCCTTTGCTGGTGCAGTCACATCTGTATGCTGCTACAGAGAAGATGCAAGCTGACCAAACAGACTCCTTGATGCCTTTGCTGGTGCAGTCACATCTGTATGCTGCTACAGAGAAGATGCAAGCTGACCAAACAGACTCCTTGATGCCTTTGCTGGTGCAGTCACATCTGTATGCTGCTACAGAGAAGATGCAAGCTGACCAAACAGACTCCTTGATGCCTTTGCTGGTGCAGTCACATCTGTATGCTGCTACAGGGAAGGTGCATGCTCTCCAAACAGACTCCTTGATGCCTTTGCTGGTGCAGTCACATCTGTATGCTGCTACAGAGAAGATGCATGCTCTCCAAACAGACTCCTTGATGCCTTTGCTGGTGCAGTCACATCTGTATGCTGCTACAGAGAAGATGCAAGCTGACCAAACAGACTCCTTGATGCCTTTGCTGGTGCAGTCACATCTGTATGCTGCTACAGGGAAGGTGCATGCTCTCCAAACAGACTGCTTGATGCCTTTGCTGGTGCAGTCACATCTGTATGCTGCTACAGAGAAGATGCAAGCTGACCAAACAGACTGCTTGATGCCTTTGCTGGTGCAGTCACATCTGTATGCTGCTACAGAGAAGATGCAAGCTGACCAAACAGACTGCTTGATGCCTTTGCTGGTGCAGTCACATCTGTATGCTGCTACAGAGAAGATGCAAGCTGACCAAACAGACTCCTTGATGCCTTTGCTGGTGCAGTCACATCTGTATGCTGCTACAGAGAAGATGCAAGCTGACCAAACAGACTCCTTGATGCCTTTGCTGGTGCAGTCACATCTGTATGCTGCTACAGGGAAGGTGCATGCTCTCCAAACAGACTCCTTGATGCCTTTGCTGGTGCAGTCACATCTGTATGCTGCTACAGAGAAGATGCATGCTCTCCAAACAGACTCCTTGATGCCTTTGCTGGTGCAGTCACATCTGTATGCTGCTACAGAGAAGATGCAAGCTGACCAAACAGACTCCTTGATGCCTTTGCTGGTGCAGTCACATCTGTATGCTGCTACAGAGAAGATGCAAGCTGACCAAACAGACTCCTTGATGCCTTTGCTGGTGCAGTCACATCTGTATGCTGCTACAGGGAAGGTGCATGCTCTCCAAACAGACTGCTTGATGCCTTTGCTGGTGCAGTCACATCTGTATGCTGCTACAGAGAAGATGCAAGCTGACCAAACAGACTGCTTGATGCCTTTGCTGGTGCAGTCACATCTGTATGCTGCTACAGAGAAGATGCAAGCTGACCAAACAGACTGCTTGATGCCTTTGCTGGTGCAGTCACATCTGTATGCTGCTACAGAGAAGATGCAAGCTGACCAAACAGACTCCTTGATGCCTTTGCTGGTGCAGTCACATCTGTATGCTGCTACAGAGAAGATGCAAGCTGACCAAACAGACTCCTTGATGCCTTTGCTGGTGCAGTCACATCTGTAAGCTGTTAAATTCTAATAAAACAATTACTCATCAACTAATCTAATATGATAGACAGTTTCTTAAATCTACAATTATCTACTATCTACTACTTATCGCATATTAAAGTAACCAAAACACACAACATTTGGGAAACAACTACTCACCAACAAGCGCTAATATGACGGTTAAGAGTGGGGCTGCAGGGAAAGCTATTGCTATGTTCAAATCAAACATCTGCAGCAAATCCACTGAGGAGAAGAAACAGAGACAAGAAGAATAAAGTATTCCAAGCAAAACATCCACTCTATTATGAAATATACAATGCAAATAAAAGTGAAATAAAGGACCCCTGGGCCATTTACTGATGGCTGGCCCGGTCGAGGTGTACCTGAAAGTCCTTCTAAAGCCACCCTAGACAGCAGGGTAAAGTAAGTGAAGAAACCTTGTCCACGCCATTAGGTGCACTGGGCATATAGGGCTAGACCTACATTTTACAGACCAATCAGCACTCGCCTTTACTTCCAGGACTTCACCTGGTACCCATTTAAGGCTGGGTTGACCTGGGAGCCAAGGTCAAGTTCGAAAAAAGTCCACCTGTTAGGGCCTGAACCCACGACCTTCAAATCCGCAAGCAAGCCTTTTTTTTTTTATGTGGGTAGGTCTTGCTAATCACACTCGCCATCGCCATGGGCTGTGATTCCCCGCCTCCCCATAGCACAATATGACACCGTGGTCTGGAAAGACAGAAAGATGCCAACAGAACTTAAATAACCAAATGTTGTAGGTAAAACTGCTGAATCTGTTGAAATCTCCTATAAAAGCTCGTATCATCAGGTAAACTACAATGGCTAGAGGATACATAAAGAATGGCAGCTAAGAGAGACAACAAATGCATACACAAAAGAGTTGAACAGGAGAAAAAAGGCGACTAGTTAGGGGTTTTACCTACAAAGAATGCATCTGCCTGAGAAGTAGGGAACCAACAGTCTGCATTCAAGTAAGCCAGATCTGTCACATGGATGCAAACGCAAAATTCAAGTTCTGGAACAAGACTAAAGTACAGAAGTGGACAAACAACCAGAACTTCCCGTAGAAGTTTACAGCCAGTGAAGGCTAAGAAGAAGACTGGAAGCAGACCACTGGGCAGACCAAGAAGACTGTGGAGATATAATAAACAGGTAGACCTGTATTCCACAAGTCTCACATGCTAACCCTATTACGGGTCCTGGGAGTAAAGCCTGATGAAGCCCACCTGTGCCGTCTTCAAGGTCAAGACAGGAAACATTATAACTAACTTCTTATGTGAACAGCTCAATGTGCAACATATAACAAAGTCAACTCTGATAACATAACAGCAGACTTACGAACACTGTAAGCCATCAGCTGGAAATAAAAGACCAATTTAGACACAAATGGCCGGTGATATCTGCAGCAATTAACCTTTTCTTCTTCTTCTTCTTCTTCTTAGCGTTCATCTGCTGCAAACTCCGGTGGAAAGTTCTGGTTATTCATCCAATCCTGGACTTTGGTCTTGACCCAGAACTTGAGTTTTGTGTGTATATCTGTTTTACAGATCTGGCTTATCTGTATGCAGACTGCTGGCTCTTGCCTCTCAGACAGATGCACTCTAATTTTAAAGGAAACATAAATGATTAGTACCCTCCTTTGACATGCTTGTTAGGGGCAGGAGGGCGAGGGGAGACTGAGTCTATTTTTTTTTTTCTCTGGAGCCCCAGAACCCAAAAGGGAAAGCAATAAACCTCAATGGGTCAGGGTGCCGAGGAAGAATAAGAGTTGATGATTACTCTGTGTAGTGTTTAAGATCTGTTGTTTAAACTTAAACACTACAAATAGTAATACTAACTAAACAAACAAACAAAAAACATACACACTCACACACACACATGTTTACATCATCTGTTATTGTGAAAATGTTTTCTGCCTACAATATTGAATACTTACTGATGAAAACAAAAATCTGATGATGGGAATACCTCAGAAGTGTTGACACTGACACAGTCTGAAAATTACCAGCAAAATTCTAAGTCAGTTAATACTGCTACTTACAAATACAAGTGAATTCTGAGCAATTACATCCACTTAAAAATACAAGCAATTTCTAAGTCAGTTACTACTGCCAACTTGAAAGATTAAAATAAAATTCTTAAGACTGTTAATAATTAAAACCCAAGCAAATTCTCATATCAGTTTACACTGTCACAAATAAAGTAAATTCTAAGTCAGTCTACACTGTCACAAATAAAGCAAATTCTAAGTCATTAAATACTGCCAATTAAAAATACAAGCAAAATCGTAATCAGTAAATAGTGCCACATACAAATACAAGCACATTCAAAGTCAGTTAATACTGCCACAAATAAAGTAAATTCTAAGTCAGCTAACTCTTCTGCATTTCTAGCTCCCAATGGAGCATAGGCCCTCAACCAACTCACGCCAAGTCGTTCTATCTTTTGCTATCGCATGCAGCTCTCCCCATCTTTCTAACTTCATTCTCCAGCTCCCTTTTCTATGTGTTTTTTTTTTTACCTTCCTTTATTCCTATGCCTCTGTGGGTTCCAGTGCAAAGACATTCTAGTTATATTGTTCTCCCGTTTTCTCAAGGTGTGTCCTATCTGGCTTCTTTTCTTCACCTCTTGGTCTACTGGAGCTTGCTTAGTTCTCTCCCAAAGCTCTACTTTAGTGATTCTACCATACCATTTAATTCCCTCTATTCTGTGCAGGCACCAGTTAATGAATGTCTGTAGTTTATTAGTGATTGCATTAGATGTTCATTAAGTCAGCTAACACTGGATCTTAAATATGTACATAAATGTTATGTCAGCTAATACGGCCACAAAGATACAAGTACGTTCGAAGGCAGCCCGTATGATCACTTACAAAGATAAGCATAATAAAGGCGGCAGCCAGGTAAGAACTGCGTGCCATCCACATGCTGATAAAACGAAAATGTTCCCCTGTCACAACATTCCGCAGGTAGCCTGAAACAATGCAGAAATAAATAACGTTGTCATATGGAGGTGATGTGATCTCGCAACACCAAGATCAAAATACATAAGACATTGATAAGACAGTTGTTTTATATGCCTCTGAAACTTGGAGCACAACTAAAAGAGATGAAGCCTTATTACAGGTTTTCAAAATCAGTCTTATGACAAATCTTTGGACCCATCAAAGATGAAAACAGCAGGAAATGGAGAGTGAGAAGCAATAATGAAATTCATAATCTGTTTGAATCACCACTGATCACTGGCATCATGAGAGCTAATAGACTTAAATGGTTGGGGCACATTGAAAGAATGTCAGATGACAGATAAGTAAAAAATTTATACACAAGGGAGATGAATGGTCGTATACCATGCGCGGCGTGGGGCTAAACTAGATGGCTGGGACTCACGAGCAAATAAAATGAAGGAAGCTGCAGGAGATGAGGTAGCTGCTGCTCATGAATCCCAGCCATCTAGTTTAGCTCCAATCCACGCTGCTACTCATCCACGCCGCGAGTAGCGGCGTAGGAGATACTCTCGGCGATTGCCTGGAAGTCCGCAATTTACATCTGAGGCCCTGTTAGGGTATATTTTCAGCCTCGATAATTTGGGACAGTTATTCGGAAGATAGCCTAAAAACCTCTTCTTCAGCATTCACCATCAAAAGAGTTGTTTGCATGCGGTGTTGGGGTTTACAGATAGGCTGTGATATCTGCACCTTTCGACCCACCACATGTAATGTCACTAAAGAGGGGGTAAAGGTCCCTTTTTCACGCCTTTAGGGCTAGTCCTACATCTTTATAGACCAGTTAGCACAAGATGGGTGATGTGGTCAGCATCATGCCGGACGCCTTTACTTCCTGGGACTGCACTTGGTACCCACTCAGGGCTGGGTTGACCTGGGAGTTAAGGTGATTTTTGAAAAAAGTCAGGCTCCGGCAGGGAGCGAACCCAAAGACCTTCCGATCCACACGCGAGCGTCTATGCCACGACGACTCCCACATGTAATGTCAGCAATCCCTTTATTTGTCACCTTTGACAACATACTTGTTTTGGGGGAGGGGGTGAATCTAACCCTCGCCCCTATCTCCCAAAATGGGGCTCTGGAACACAAACGGGACGAAAAGGCTCAAAACCTCCCAAGAGAAGAAACATATTTACCTTTGTTGTTCTCTCCTTCTGCAAGCTTCTTGATGCTTGACATTAAAATATCGTCATAACCCAGAAACTCATCTAGCAAAAACCGGCTGAAACCATCACCAAAGCAGACGTCTTTTTCAGGATCTGTAGGTTAAAAAATGTTTATCAACTAATTTAAGCGACATCATCATTGTATATCGACAATAAGTGCAAACGTTCATGGTCACTGGAGTAATTTTCTTATTACTTTAATTTTGTTCTTCTCTTACCTGCGTTACCTTAATGAGCTGTCTGTGAAAATGGATACCAGAAAATGTCCTGGGAGGTAAAGGTGGTCAATGTGGAGCTGACCATATCACCCATCAAATGTATATTGAACTACACACACACAAATGGATCTAGCCAATGGCATCGAAAGGGGTGTTTCTTCTTCTTCTCCTTCGCATTCAATGGCTGTAAATTCCAGCAGAAGGTTCTGGTCGTTCATCCACATCACTAGACAACAAGTGGCCTCTAGTTCTCATGACAGATGAATAGGCTTACCTTTTTCAGTTCCAGCCACTGAGATGTAACGGCTAGATGCTCACCTGCCGATCAGAAGGTCATGGGTTTGATTCCCCCAGACTTTCAAAAAATGACTGGCTCCCAGGTGGACCCAGCCTTAGAGGGTCCCAGGTAAAGTCCTGGGAAGTAAAAGTGGCTGATGTGATACTGACCACATCACCCACCGAGTGCCGATTGGTCTATTCAATTCAGGTCTAGCCCTACATGACCAATTCGCTTGAAGGCGTGGAAAAGGGTGTTTTACTTTGTTTTGTGTGTGTTTTAACTATCAGCCTTATCAGTCACCTCCACACAAAATTCAAGATAGGTGTATCAGCCATGTGCACCTGTGGAAATGTGCCCCAGACAGCAGAGCATGTACTCCAGAACTGCACCGATTTTGACACATTAAGGCAAACCTTTTGGCCAGAAAGAACAACAGTGGAACGTAAACTCTATGGACCACTGAATGAACTAACGACGACAGTGAAATTTATACAAGAGACAAAACTGCTGATATAGACAACTTATTTCAGGCGAACGAAAGAAGAAGAAGAAGAAGAAGTCACCTCCATACTCATTATCCTGTAGTCTTACTAGATATCAAGTGGTATCTATTTCTCACGAATAAACTTAACTCTTTCGGTACTACACAACTCAACATAGGTTCATTAAATATTCCAAAGACAGTGCAGGTTTCAAACTTTTCTTTTATTGCAGATTACTGCTACATTAACTAATTAATCAGTGTAATGATGCTATAAATAGGGATAATGTCAGGGGATGACTGACATAATTGGGGAAGTCCCTGAGAGCATGGGTTTCACGGAGATATGGTGAAACGACAGGAAAGAGTGAGTCACGTGTGAATTGTGAGATCTGGGGGAATTGAGAATCAGGCGGGGATTCGGTGACTGAGCCCCAGAGAGAAAGGATGTGAAACTGGATCTGTGAAGATGAATCGAGAGTGAAGAGCACGTGGAACTGAATCAAAGTCGAATGAATGAGAGTGAAGGCCAGCTGTAGTGTTACACCGTTTGATTGTTGAGCCAGCCATGAATATGCCAGTGTCCATCATCGGAAGCATGTCTGGAGCATTAATGCGTGAGCAAGTTGAGATTGCCCCGAATGGTGTAAGTGGACATCGTTGTTGATTCGTGTCTTGTGCTACAGTGATAATAAACTGATGAAATGTATCAGCTGGTGTCAACCGTCGTTAGAAGTCGTGTGACCGATGAGAGCAGTGCAGTCTTGTTAGATTAAGCTGTGACCTAACCTCTAGACACAACTGCAATAGATACAAGTGCAGTCATTACAATCAGAATTATTTGTTTTACTCCGTCTGCACTTAATGTTAACTTCTTTGAACCTGGACCCTGTTAACTTTAAACCAGAACTTGCCCAGAGATGAGTTAAAGTAATGATAGACTGGTACCAAAAGAGGTAAAAGATAAATTGTACTTAATGGAAACAAGCAGATAGGATATAACTGTGTCCAACTTAAGACAGCTAATATGCTTTTTTTTACATACACTTAATACATATGATGACAACAATGATCCTGGAATCCCATGCTCCAATTGTAGGAAACTTGTCTTAACACTGGCGAATCTTGCTATTCGACATTGCTGGGCTTTGAATCCCATGCCTTCTCATAGCACAATTTCTTCTTCTTTGTTCACCGGCTGAAAGCCCTCGCTGTTCATCCATTTTGATTTTTGGCTTTGTGCATCTGTTTTAATGGCTTAATTGTGTGCAGTTAGTTGTTCCTTGCTGTGCAGACATATGCACTCTGACTTCCAAGGAACCCACCAGTTGGTCAACTCCTATGACATGCTTGTTGGGGAGGCAATGAGTCTATTCTTGCTTTCTCCAGAATGGTGCATGGGAACCCATACAGGGCTCCGGAACCCATACGGGGAATCACCATCATCATCAGGTACCTTGCCAACTGGCGTTGGCGAATCATCCCTCTCCACAATCTGCGATCTCCTGCAGCATGTATCAGTTCGTGTGCTGACACACCTCCATACCATGTAACAAGACTGTAAAGAATCTTCTCTCGTTGTCTTCCTCTATCCCTCCTTCCACATATTCTTTCAGTGGTCACAACATATTCTATTTTCCCTCTTCTTATAACATGGCCAAAAAATGATGACTGTCTCCTTGAGATGTCTGTCATAAGTTTGTCTTCAGGCTCCCGCCTATTTCAAAACCTCTTGGTTGCCCATACGGTGAATACCACAATATAATACTTTGCATTTTATGTTATAAGAGCACTGAGAGACTCACCTAAGACGACCAGCCTGACGGTGATGTTCAGCTTCTTGCGTGTTTTGGGTGATAGTCTCAAGAAACCATACTCCAGGGAGTACTCGACTATGTACTTCTCTTCAGGCCAAACTAGAAAAGTCAGGAAATTACATTTAAACAAATATATTTGTGGAAAAAATTTCATCCACTTCTTTCTTTCTTTCTTATTTTTCTTTTTCTTGTCTTTTTTAAAACTGATTGTAACTGACCAGGGGATTTGATGGACACTCAAAACTCAAGGGAAAGGTAAGATGGACACACGGTCAGACTGCTACTAGCATCATCAGACTGGGGACTGCATATAAGACAAGGACAGAGCGCTTATGGGAATTTCCAGAGTCCTGTAATGACAGGTCTTAACTCAGCTCAACCAATTTATATTTCCCGTGTGGGTTCTGGGGCCCCATTGTGGAGAAAACAAGAATAGACCCACTGTCTCCCCCAACAAACATGTTGTAGGAGTTGACTAATTTGGGGTCTTCCTTCAAAGTAGGGGAACAGCTACCTGACAGGCAAGGAACCTATAGTCTGCAAAACAAATAAGCCAGAGCTGTGAAACAGATGTGCATGCAACTCTCAGGTTCTGGAACCGGACTAAAGCCCGCAGGTGAACAAACACCCAGAACTTTCTGCCGGAGTTTACAGCCGATGAGCACGAAGAAGAACCTAATTATACCACACCATGGGATCAATCCTTTATTATGAGTCTCAGATTTGGTCACAAACTAACACAAGTCAACTGGTTCAAGTTTTTTAGATTACCCTACAAGACAGCACACTGGGCTGGAGAACTGAGACTTTCAAGCGTCCCGTGAAGAAGAGCAACAGTAAAAAACATGCTGAATGACTGATCCTGCATGACCAAAGTTCAAACCAGACATCTTGTCAAGAACTGGCAAAACAGCATCCGTGCTCACTAAACACTAAATAAGATGGAGAGCAAAACAAATAATCACATGTGAAATAAAGCCATGACTGCTCTAGCTACCAGTACATTTCATCAGGCTGGTTATGTAATGTGGATGTTACATCCATGCTCATAGAAAATACCAGTACATTTCATCAGGCTGGTTATGTAATGTGGATGTTACATCCATGCTCATAGAAAATACCAGTACATTTACATCAGGCTGGTTATGTAACGTGGATGTTACATCCATGCTCATAGAAAATACCAGTACATTTACATCAGGCTGGTTATGTAATGTGGATGTTACATCCATGCTCATAGAAAATACCAGTACATTTACATCAGGCTGGTTATGTAATGTGGATGTTACATCCATGCTCACAGAAAATACCAGTACATTTACATCAGGCTGGTTATGTAATGTGGATGTTACATCCATGCTCATAGAAAATACCAGTACATTTTCATCAGGCTGGTTATGTAATGTGGATGTTACATCCATGCTCATAGAAAATACCAGTACATTTTCATCAGGCTGGTTATGTAATGTGGATGTTACATCCATGCTCATAGAAAATACCAGTACATTTACATCAGGCTGGTTATGTAATGTGGATGTTACATCCATGCTCATAGAAAATACCAGTACATTTACATCAGGCTGGTTATGTAATGTGGATGTTACATCCATGCTCACAGAAAATACCAGTACATTTACATCAGGCTGGTTATGTAATGTGGATGTTACATCCATGCTCATAGAAAATACCAGTACATTTTCATCAGGCTGGTTATGTAACGTGGATGTTACATCCATGCTCACAGAAAATACCAGTACATTTACATCAGGCTGGTTATGTAATGTGGATGTTACATCCATGCTCATAGAAAATACCAGTACATTTACATCAGGCTGGTTATGTAATGTGGATGTTACATCCATGCTCACAGAAAATACCAGTACATTTACATCAGGCTGGTTATGTAATGTGGATGTTACATCCATGCTCATAGAAAATACCAGTACATTTACATCAGGCTGGTTATGTAATGTGGATGTTACATCCATGCTCACAGAAAATACCAGTACATTTACATCAGGCTGGTTATGTAATGTGGATGTTACATCCATGCTCATAGAAAATACCAGTACATTTACATCAGGCTGGTTATGTAATGTGGATGTTACATCCATGCTCACAGAAAATACCAGTACATTTACATCAGGCTGGTTATGTAATGTGGATGTTACATCCATGCTCATAGAAAATACCAGTACATTTACATCAGGCTGGTTATGTAATGTGGATGTTACATCCATGCTCATAGAAAATACCAGTACATTTCATCAGGCTGGTTATGTAATGTGGATGTTACATCCATGCTCATAGAAAATACCAGTACATTTACATCAGGCTGGTTATGTAATGTGGATGTTACATCCATGCTCACAGAAAATACCAGTACATTTACATCAGGCTGGTTATGTAATGTGGATGTTACATCCATGCTCATAGAAAATACCAGTACATTTCATCAGGCTGGTTATGTAATGTGGATGTTACATCCATGCTCATAGAAAATACCAGTACATTTACATCAGGCTGGTTATGTAATGTGGATGTTACATCCATGCTCACAGAAAATACCAGTACATTTACATCAGGCTGGTTATGTAATGTGGATGTTACATCCATGCTCACAGAAAATACCAGTACATTTACATCAGGCTGGTTATGTAATGTGGATGTTACATCCATGCTCACAGAAAATACCAGTACATTTACATCAGGCTGGTTATGTAATGTGGCTGTTACATCCATGCTCATAGAAAATACCAGTACATTTACATCAGGCTGGTTATGTAATGTGGATGTTACATCCATGCTCATAGAAAATACCAGTACATTTCATCAGGCTGGTTATGTAATGTGGATGTTACATCCATGCTCATAGAAAATACCAGTACATTTACATCAGGCTGGTTATGTAATGTGGATGTTACATCCATGCTCACGAGAAAATACCAGTACATTTACATCAGGCTGGTTATGTAATGTGGATGTTACATCCATGCTCATAGAAAATACCAGTACATTTCATCAGGCTGGTTATGTAATGTGGATGTTACATCCATGCTCATAGAAAATACCAGTACATTTACATCAGGCTGGTTATGTAATGTGGATGTTACATCCATGCTCACAGAAAATACCAGTACATTTACATCAGGCTGGTTATGTAATGTGGATGTTACATCCATGCTCATAGAAAATACCAGTACATTTACATCAGGCTGGTTATGTAATGTGGATGTTACATCCATGCTCACAGAAAATACCAGTACATTTACATCAGGCTGGTTATGTAATGTGGATGTTACATCCATGCTCACAGAAAAATACCAGTACATTACATCAGGCTGGTTATGTAATGTGGATGTTACATCCATGCTCATAGAAAATACCAGTACATTTACATCAGGCTGGTTATGTAATGTGGATGTTACATCCATGCTCACAGAAAATACCAGTACATTTACATCAGGCTGGTTATGTAATGTGGATGTTACATCCATGCTCATAGAAAATACCAGTACATTTACATCAGGCTGGTTATGTAATGTGGATGTTACATCCATGCTCATAGAAAATACCAGTACATTTACATCAGGCTGGTTATGTAATGTGGATGTTACATCCATGCTCACAGAAAATACCAGTACATTTACATCAGGCTGGTTATGTAATGTGGATGTTACATCCATGCTCATAGAAAATACCAGTACATTTACATCAGGCTGGTTATGTAATGTGGATGTTACATCCATGCTCACAGAAAATACCAGTACATTTACATCAGGCTGGTTATGTAATGTGGATGTTACATCCATGCTCATAGAAAATACCAGTACATTTACATCAGGCTGGTTATGTAATGTGGATGTTACATCCATGCTCACAGAAAATACCAGTACATTTACATCAGGCTGGTTATGTAATGTGGATGTTACATCCATGCTCACAGAAAATACCAGTACATTTACATCAGGCTGGTTATGTAATGTGGATGTTACATCCATGCTCACAGAAAATACAAGAACTGGAGATCAGATCTTTTATTTAAAAAAAAAGGCTCTTGTTTTATCATACAGATACGACATCATAAACGAAGAAGTTTGCTATACCATCGCCCAACTCATTAGCAGCTATAAACATCTTTTAACAACAATGGAAAGACAGAAAATTCCATGGTACAGACAAGTAAGAAGATCTACCAGCTTCTCCAAAAACAATATTACAGGGCTCGGAAGAGGGGAAGAGGAGAAGAGGCAGACTAACAAAGTTTGCATAGACAGCTTCGCTGACTGGACAGTCATTAAACATGAAGTTCATTTCATCAGGTTGACTGAGATGGAAGGAATAGATCAGAGAGTTAGTAACAACTGGGGAAACAACGGCACATGATGTTACTTGACCACGATGATAACATATGCGCATTCCCCGTGTGGGTTTTAGGCTCCACTGTGGGAAAACCAGAACAGACCCATTGCCGCCCAAACAAACATGTTGTAAGTAAAGATCCCTTTTCATGCCTTAGGCGCATCACGTATATGGGAAGAGAGTCCCATGTTTTTACAGACCAATCGGCACCGGATGGGTAATGTGGTCAGCATTACGCCGGCTATCTTTACTTCCCCAGGACAGCCATCTTGGTACTCATTTTAGGCTGACTGGACCTGCGATGCCCCATACCATGATAAAAATACATGCAGCCAGCAGTGGGTTTCGATCACAGTACTTTGGATTACGAGTCGGACTCGCAACGCCTAAGCCACGAACGCCGCAACAAACATGTTGTAAGAGCTGATAAATTAAGGTTTTCTTCAAAGTCAGAATGCATCTGCCTGACAGGCAAGGAATCAACAGTCTATATGTGTGCCAGATGTGCCCAATGAATGCAACACTCAATTTCTGGAACAAGACTAAAGCCCAGAAGTGTCTGAACAACATGAACTTTCTGTCGGAATTTACAGCTGGTGAATGTGGTGATGAAGAAGTCATCATCATCATGAAGCAGGTCCTTTGCAGAACGTCGCTCGGTCTCGGTCTCTCACCAGCTCTTCTGCCTCATGCACTTTCATACTCAAGGAGTCACTTATATCCTGTGCCCATCTTCGTGTTGGTCGGCCCCTGCCCCTTCTTCCTGCTACCATGCCTTCTGCTATTATTTTTTCCAATCCGTCGCGGCGCCTGATATCACTAAAATATTTCAGCTTATGAGACAGGATGCTGTTCATTAGCCAATCTTCCTTGAGAGAAAGACATATGTGCACACACAAAAAAGTATCAAAATATAAAATCAGGGAAAATACAGAGGTAAAAAAAAAAAAAAACAGTAATTTACCAGCCTTGGTTAACATTTCCAATTCATTGGGCCCATCTGTTAAATGAGCATGCAGAAAGTCTGGATGGGAATAATTCCTGCGTGTTCTGCTCAAGGAATCTGTGGTTGTAGTTTCATCATCACCAACATCAACTGAGTTTTCATCGTCCACATCACTGGTGTTTTCTTCATCATCAAACAAGAAGTCCCAGATTTTTAGACTGTAAATACAAAATTTTAAAAATATTTTTAAAATGTAACCAAATCTAAAATATTAACAAACAGAAAAGGAACAGACACAACAGATAGACAACAATTCTTTTTCTTCTGTGTTCACACTTACAAAAGCAGTTGCCATGGTGTGTTGTGGTTTACATTTAAGCTGCAACATCGGTGCTTATCAGGAGCAACACATCTAACTTCACCAAACCCCTAATCAGTTGCCCTGTACGACATGCCTGAGAAAATATAACTAGAATGACTTTGCACTAGAACCAACAGAGACATGAAATAAAGGCAGACCAGAAAACACATAAAAAAGGCAGCTAGAGAGTAAAGTTGGAAAAAAAAAAAATTGTGCAGGAAATGAGGTGAGCTGCATGCGACAGCAAAAGACAGGATGACCTGGCGTGAGTTGGTTGACGGCCTGTGCTCCACTATGGATAAAGGAAAAAAGAAGAACAAGAAGAAGAAGAAGACTTTAAATTGAGATATAGGAAAACCGTTAACTTATTAAAAAAATCATAGGCAGACTGTCAATATTTTTGGGGCACACTTAGAGAAGGTATACACTTGAGAACTTGGTGACAACAGGCAAGAACGTTGGAAAAAGAGCAAGAGGAAGGAAAAGAGAATAAATACTTTGATCACATAAATGGCGAGGGAAAGAGCACTGAGCTGATCTGTGACTGTAGATACTGTGTGGGATTTTAAACCATTCTTCTTCTGTGTGGTACAAATCAAGGAAAGTCACCCCATCTCGTCGGCTGCATGATTTCATAGGGGATTTTCTGGGACACACCTGAAGTCTATGGGTTTAATGTGTTCTTCGTTTTGATCGTTTCAGCAGTGATGACAGCCACCATCAACGAGCATAGCAATACAAAAAAATTAATGATTTGATACTCATAAAGTGTCACACCTTTGGCGCTTCCCTTGCAGGACTTCTTCCTCGTAGGCAGGCGCCTTTGGTACCTGCGACTCACAGTCAACAGAGGTCCGAAAACAAACCTGCGGCAGCCACTTTCTGACACGGTGTGTTCAAACAGCAAAGCAAGCCAATTCGTAACTCCCCCACAACAACATAGGAAAGCCTGTGGGAACTGGCACGACATGAATGACAGCCGGCACGAAATCTTGCGTGCAAATGAGATGAGGTGACTCTTGCAATTAGTACCTTCTGTGTTTACCTATAAAAGGCCAGTTGGCAAGTTGCGATTTACAGACAGTCTATGGTGTCTGTACCTTTCAGCCCAGCACATCTGATTTCAGCAAATCCTTTATTAGTTGCCTTTTATGACATGCTTGTTAAGGAGCAGTGGGTCTATTCCCACCCCACCCCCTACCCAAATGGGGTCCCAGAACCCCACACAGGGACAGCAAAAACTAGGATTACCTACGCTAATCAGCATAGCACGTGATGATGATGATGATGAACATTACAATAAAACTTATAACAACAACATACCTCAACAAGTAACTCCATGGTGTGCTGGCTTCCTTTGCTTCATAAAAGGAACGGCTGTCACCTTCAGCATCATCGTCATCATCCAGTCCTTCAGATGTCCCACGTCCTCCTTCTGCTTCTGAAACCCCCTGGTTCTCTGCTTTACTATATGAAACATCACCTCTGGCTGTGAAATCACTTTCGAAATTGTCATCATATGCATCACCACCTCCTGTTAATTGATTCTTTTTAGCCCTGAAGATCTGAAAGCCGCCTCCTGCCAAACTTTCGTTTGCATAACTAAATCCATCAACAAAACTCACTTCATCATCAATATTCTTCACGTCTTTAGGGCTCTGCTTTCTTGATATATTATATAAACTTTTATGGCCACCTTCTGCTTCTAGTCCCAACTCTTCTAAGGAAGCTTGAAAGAACAGTTGAATATCTGAGTATTCCTTTTTATAAGAGTTGTAGAGACTGTAATTATCTGGTGCGTTCCGCACAATTTCAACTCTGAGGATGCCATCCCTTGGCCAAATGTCTTGCACATGTTCCAAGCAGTTCATGGGTGACTTGGCAAATACAGCGTGTATATATACAAGTATGCCCAGCACAAACAATGCCTGTGAAAACAGAAGGTGTTTCATGCTTTAGAGTAAATATTTGGGAGAAGATATTTTAGAATAAACAGGAGAGGACATTCAAGAATAAACATTATTTGACAGAAGATTTTAGAATTAACAGGAGAGGACATTCAAGAATAAACATTATTTGACAGAAGATTTTAGAATAAACATTATTTGACAGAAGATTTTAGAATAAACATTATTTGACAGAAGATTTTAGAATAAACAAAAATGTCTAGTTTGAGAATGGAGGTGGAGGCAGTCACTTTCTGCTGGCTTGAGAATCAGCTGCACACACATCGCAATTGTAACTGACTCACAGAATAAGTTCAGAAAAGTGAAGACAGGCTGCAGAGTGGCAAGCATCGCTTCAGAGGTCCCAGGTAGTTAGTGTCATATTTTCTATAGGTCATGCTGGTGTGTTGGGAAACTACATGCAGATAGACTGGCTGGTTCTGCACCATTTGGTGGTGAACTGATGTATGACAGACTAGATGTTGTGAGGGCCCTTTAGGAGCAAGTGAACAGTGCAGAGGCACAAACACCATTACAGTCGGAGATCTGGGAATCTGGCCGACACTCAACACTCAAGGGAAAGGCGAGATGGATGTACAATCAGACAGTTACTGGTACCATCAGAATTGGAACTTCGTTTGCTGCTGAAGATAGAAACGGAGCACTTATGGAAGTGTCCCAAGTGCTAAGAAGAAGAGGAAGAGGAAAAGGAAGAGGAGGAGGAAGAAGAAGGAGGATGAGGAGAAGAAGAAAAAAACACAAGAATAAATAAACATGACACAATGAAACAGAATTTTAACATTTATAATTTAACTAAACTGAACTAATTACCTTCAGCAGTAAAGTAAATTCCAAAATTCTTCGAATTGGCCGTGGAAATGTGCGAGCATATGTGATGGCAATGCGATAAAATAAAGCGTGAAACAGGCGGTTCTGTAAGTGGAAGAAGGGGTTGTTCTCTCCACCCCTGGCTCCATTGTTGCGAGCCCTGGCAGCACCCACACCTCCGTTGTTGTTGTTGCCTGGGTTATTGTTCATAGTCAGCTGTTCTGGTACCAATCTAGGATGATAAATGTGGTTTAGCTGTTACTGTGCTAAAAATGAAACAACTTTTTACAAATTACAAGTGAAGGAAATCAAAATTGAAATTTTGAGAGCATGCAATTTCCCTGTAGCAACATATGGATGTGAGTCGTAGACTATCTCTCAGTCCTAAAGAAAGAAAAAAGTGCTTTTGAACTGAAATGCTTATAAAAATTATCTGAATACCGTGGACAAAGAAGAAAATAAATACTGACATTTTTAAAGACCTGAACATTAAGGAAGATTGGCGAATAAACGGTATCCTTCTCTGAAGATGAAATATTTTTGTCATATAAAGCGCCATAGCCGACTGGAAAAAATTAATAGCAGAAGGCATGGTAACAGGAAGGAGGGGCAGGGTCCGACCAAGATGAAGATGGGCATAGGATATGAGTGACTGAAAGTACACGAGGTGGGAGAGCTGTCGAGAGACCAAGTTTCTTTCAGGCAGACTGTGATGAGAGCGACATTCTGCAAAGGACCTGCTACATGATGATGATCACAAGTGAAGGACACAGTTAAGACCTTTAAATGCACTGAACATTTGATGCTTGTTCCATATTTTTACACACCAATCAGCATCAATTAAAATCAAATGCTTCGTCTCGTAACACCAAGACTGCAACATACAAAACACTGATAAGACTAGTTGTCCTGCAGGGCTCAGAAACCTGGAGAATGACTAAAAATTAAAAAAAGATGAAGTCTTACTACAAACTTTTGAGAACAGAGTCTGAATGTGAATTTTTTGACCCACTAAGGATACAAACAAAGAAAAATGGAAAGAAGAATAAAACAAAGAAATAATCGGTTTAAAACATCACTAATTACTGGCATCATGAGGGCTTATAGACTAGGGTGGTTGGGATATATAGAAAGAATGGCAGATGACACAGGGACTAAAACTGTAAACAAAAGCATCCAACTGGAGTAGATGATAAGCAGACCAAGAAAACAGTGGAGAGAATATTCAGACAGAACTACATACACTTGGAATCCTTAACTGGAAAGAAAAGGGCCAATCATAGAGAAGAAAGAAGGCTGGTGATATCTGCCGCAATGAACCTCAAGGCTCGGAATGTTGAAGAAGACTAATCATCATTCAATGAGTGATATGATCACCAATATGGCAGCCATCTTCAATTACCAGCACATTTCCTTGTACCCCCCCCCCCCCCCCCCCTTTTAGGCTGGATTGATACAGTGGCCTGGTCAATTAATTAATTAAAATTTTTTTTTAAAGAAAACTTCTTCTTCTTAGCGTTCATCAGCTGTAAACTTTGACGGAAAGTTCTGTAGGTTGGTTCACTCCTTGACTTAATTGAAGTCTTGATCCACAACTTGAGTTTTGCATTTACATCCGTTGTACAAATCCAGCTTATTCTGTATGCAGGCTGTTGGCTCCTTGCCTCTCAAGCAGATGCATTCTGACTTTGAAAAGAACATCATCCTTAATTACTCTTCCTATGACTTGCCTGCTCAAGAACAGTGGGCCGATTTTTCATCTTCCAAAGCGGAGCCACAAGAACCTAAGTGAGTGCGAATTCAAATCCATGACCAGCAGGCAAGCGCGTTATCCACTGTACCGCCAGGGTTTCCAACAGTAGCAACTGATATGCCAAAACAAAAGCTGTTTTAACCATGCAACTATGTCAAGCCTTATAGACATAACCACTGTTTTCCTTTGAGATTCCATAAACATGCTTTAGAAAATCGCAACAGGTAGTTTATGCTTGGAATCGGTAAAAAGCATTTGGACATGGCAATGAACCTCCATCCTCAGATCTATAACACCTGGGAATGCAGGAGTAAAATGTAAGAAACAAGCCGGCCAGCTGGCAAATAATGCATCAATGCATACGGGGAAAACATGGACAGAACTGATATCATCATTGCTGTACAGACTAGGGTGGCAAATAATGATGAATCTCTGATGGTAACATGACTACCTGACCTGGGAGTAAAGCTTGTTGAAGCATGCCTATGCCGTCTTTGTGGTAAAGACAGAAGACACTACAAAGAACTTCCCTGTGTGAGTTCCGGGGCCCCATTATGGGAAAAACAAGAATAGACCCACTGCCTACCCAAAAGCATGTCGTAAGAGTCGACTAATTGGGGAGCTAGCTTCCTTTGAAGTCGGAGTGCATCTGCCTGAGGGGCAAGGAACCAACAGTCTGCATTCAAGTGAATCAGATCTGTAAAACTGATGCACACGCAACACTCAGGTTCTGGAGCAGGACTGTAGTCCAGAAGTGGACGAATAACCAGAACTTTCCGCCAGAGTTTACAGCTGGTGAAGGCGAAGAAGGTATCTTGGCGTGGCTGCTGCATCAGAGGACTGAGCACACATGGTAATGCCCAATGTGCAGTAATATTGACTGTGATAACATAACAAAAGACTGTTAAACAGTTATTTAGAAAAAAAAATGTATCGGAATGATAAAATATTTATAACCAGGGAATGTATGAGGCTTTCTTATTATTTTGTATCCTTCTGGTATGAAATGAACAGTACAAGAAAATTCAACAGCAATGAGAAGAAACATGTAAGTGATAAATGGTTTGGACAGGCATGAGCTGATAATCAATATATGCAATGACTAACAGAAGAGCTTGTAATGTACGGTTCAAACCAATGCACACACATACAAATAATAAAAACAGCATGACATTAACTTAAAATAGGAATCAACTGTGCATACAACGTTGTCTTTAAACATGCCAACAACAAAAATAATATGTAATAGTAGCAGCAGCAGCAGGATTAGTAGTAGCAGCAGCAGTAGTAGCATAGTAGAAGTAGTAGTAGTAGTCTTCTTCTTCTTCTTCACTTCCTCTTTTACCGCTGTGGGTGTCGAGGGAGATATAAGGTTCTGTTTCTGGCTCTTCTGGCCGCCTCGACCATAGGCACATCGTGCTGTTGTAGAGCTTCTCTGATGTTATCCTTCCATCTTGTTATTGGTCTACCTCTTGCTCTACGACCTTCTTCTCTTTCCATGTATGCTTTGTATGGTATGGTGTCACAAGGCATTCTCTCTAAGTGGGCAAACGCTTTTCACTTGCTGTCTTGTATGTAATTTAGAATTGGTTCTGTGCCGACTTGTGTTTCTCTTATGATCTCATTCCTGATCTTATCTCTTATGGTCACTCCTACAGCCCTTCTCAGACATCTCCTTTCCATGGTTACTAATTTTCTTTTTATGGTTTGTTGTGGAGTGACCATGTTCTGGCACTGGTAGCACAGAGTTGGGAATAAATATGCTTTGAATAAGATGTCTCTTTGTGCTGATTGGGATTGTCTTATGCTGTAAGAGGGGGGGCTAGCTGTCCCAATACTTGGTTTGCTTTACTGCATCTAATGTTAATTTAGTAGCAGTAGTAGCAGCAGTAATAGTAGCAGTATTAGTAGTAGTAGTAATATTAGCATAGTAAAAGCAGCAGGAGTAGTTATTTAGCAGTAGTAGCAGCAGCAGTAATAGTATAGTAGTAGTAGTATCAGCAGCAGTAGTAGTAATACTAGCAGTTTTGCTGACTGGTAGATTACCATCACAGGACAGTAGTATGTGTGTGGATTTTTTTTTTAGGGTGCCCAAATAGAACTATTTTATACAGTAGAACAGAGTATATGTAATTTGGGTTCTCCTTAAAACTACGGCCACTTATTATGGAGTACGCCGGAGTTCAGTCCCCTGGCCGCATTGCAATTACGGGGTGGAAAAGAGGGAACGAAACAAATTACGTAATTACTGTGTGTTGGCGATAGATGCACTGCTGTCATAATAGGGTTAGGGTTTTGGTTAGGGTTAGGAGTAACCCAAACCCTAACCCTATTATGACAGCAGTGCATCTATCGCCAACACACAGTACTAACGTCACCGGTTCACGCTGTCTATCTACAGTAATTACGTCATTTGTGTCGTTCCCTCTTTTCCACTCCATAATTGCAATGCGGCCAGGGGACTGAACTTCGCCATATTCCATAATAAGTGGCCGTAGTTTTACGGAGAACCGTAATTTGTAGCGACTACGGTGTTCGGCAATTTGCGGTCTTTTGGCAATTTCCGTTACCATGGAAACCGTTTGAAACTTGTTTGGGAAATGTCGGCTGGTTTCGGGATGGGTCCCAATCTCTCATGAAATTTTGCGATTGGTGTGGTTTTCACCAGTATAAATAGCTGATAACGGCGGGAACGATCCCGATTAACAGCGCATGTCTACGACAGCCGGAAGTCCTGTTTTTCTGTTACATCAGTTTTATTAGAAATAGCGATAAGTATTCAAGGTTGGCTTTAGGCTTTAACATTACTTGTACTGGTAATGCTGGTTATAATTGAATTCTCTGTCCAATTTTACATTTGTATATAAAATTTATTTCGTATCAGTGGCTTTTTAGATTTACAGTGACATTTTTCAGGCAATCGCTATTATGTGGCTGTGTCTCATTGTCTACCATCTTGTCCAATGCAAACAAAGGCAAAACGCTAAGTGCGCAGTTTGGTTGCGCAGAGAAAACTTCTTGTTTCACGGACGCAAGTTTTCAACAGCTGTTTTTTTTACATCTCATCTCCACAAAAACCTACATATCTCAGCTCAGAAATGACATACAAGCCTAAATGAGGTACCATTGGAAAGAGATTGTTTACAGCTATCTAACTGTGCTGGTTTTTTTGGTGTAGAGGAAATTTTGAAAATTTGACTAAAGTATCTATAATTTGTTCCTTTTGGATTGGAATTCAAAAAATGGTTCTTTGAGTCTCTGGAATACAGCTAGGTTGGTATGTTTCTTTTTGCAACTTTTGCTCAACCAGTTAGAATGTATTAACTGGTGTACTACTATACTAGAGTGCATAGACAAACACTTACAAGTACAACAGATTAGATACCAGAAAACAAACTAAAAAAAAAACAGATTTATTGTTTGCACACAATAATAATAACATCTTTCCTCTCCTGCT